GTCATCCCAGAATTACGGAGTGCTCGGAGTCCTCTCCGTGCGCACAGCCAGGAGCCGCGAGCAGCTGATCCCAATCAAGTCGGGCCCTTTGTGTCCCACGGAAATACAAACGCCTCAGGGGTGAAACCTGTTGAGCTGCACAGCAAATTAAGCTGCTCCTGTGCAGTGAGCTGAACAGATTCCCCAAGTGAAGCAAGAAGAACTTGAGGTGGGGCTCTAGTTGCTGGCTGGGAGTTTGCAGTAAGACAGAATGAGGGGAGGGAGCCCCGTAAATCAAAACCTACAGCTGCTATCGCAGCACTAGACTGGAAACATATTTCTGTCCTACAGTGGCTGTCAGTGTCACTGCCTGCAGCAAGTTTTTTCTTCCCAAGATTTTCACTTCCCAATAACTTACAGTGGACATCAGTGTGTCTGTGACTGGGATAGATGGGTGGGAGGTAAATAAGAATGTGCTGTATGCATACAAAAAATGTTTTCCAAAATGGCCCATCTTACAATTAATTCTAGTTCCCATATAATGAGAGTACATTTCTGCTCAGTTCTGTGAAGGCCATGCTCCATTTCCTGTCATGCCCAATTACTGTGCCATGCATTGTGTTCTGAGTTGAACACAAGTTGCTAATGACAATAATATTTTCCAGTCCCTTCCTGTTGGAGTAAACAAATCCCACAAAAGCCATAACTCATACCTGTTCCTTAGAGGCAGAATGGTTCCTGGCACTCATCTTGCGTGGGAAGGTGTGAGAATCCCCAGGTGCTGAGCAGGAATTGGGGGGACTGCAGAGTGTTCGGTCCAGGTGATGCTGATATCCACAGATGAGTTGTGAGCAGCAGGATGACCAAAATCTGACACTCAGGGTGTCTCTGAGTCATCCCACAGGCTGTCTGCCCTCCTTCCCAGCCACACACGGGGCTGCTGCACCTTGGAGCACGTGTGGAGCAACTGCTGCCCAGGGAAGGAGCAGTGACCAGTTTGTGCAGCCCTTCCCACAGGCAGGAACTTGGATCTGTCCTCTCAGCTGCAGCTGCACTTGTGGGAGTTGCCTTATGTCTAAGAGTCTTCCCTCTTTCCATCTGAAACTGCATCAGAAGCTTGTGGAAATGAAAGAAGGAGAAAGGTGCCACGGGGATATAGCATGGGATCACATTACATTTTCTCTTGGAAGTAATTTCAGCTGAAGCAGCCTGGTAATCAGTGATACCCTGTTACTGAGTCTCAGAGGATTATGTACAGAGTTGGTTTCCAATCAGCACTGGGTTTCACACCCAGGTTCTTACAAGTTGCTTCCCAAAGCAGCAAGACAACTTTAAATGTACATTTTTGCATGGGTGTGGTTTGGTGTCCATCATATAACCCTGTGCTCACTCAGGACAATGTACAGAGACCCCTAGACACTCCCATGGATCTCATTTCTGATTGTCACAAACCCACCAAAAGCACCAGGGCATGTTGTTGATTCACGTGTGCTCTGAATGACTTTCTGAACCATGGGTGAAGTTCAGGAAACTTCACTGTTTTCCAGTTATCCAAACTTATCCAAACCCCCAATTCCATTTCCCTACAAGTGTTCTCTAAGAGCTGCCATGAGATTGCTGCTCTGGCTGATAACTCCATCCATCTTCCCTTCCAGTGTGTGTCACATTCCTGGGAAGGTTCTACCAGAGTCTAAAGGACAATGATGTTGAATTCACACCTTCCAGTATTGAAAAGGAGCTCTTGAAATCCTGCAAAGAAGCAAAGGGCAAAGAGAATCGCCTGGTAAGTAGGGGGAGTCTCCAATATTTCCCTTCTGCAAATGAGGGGAAACTGAGTTTGTATGATGTGGCTTCCCAAGGGCTGTTTTTGCTGGCTCTGTGGCCACAGTGGGTCCTGTATTTTTTATGAAAGCACTTGAGGAGTTCAATCTCTTTACCAAAAAAAGAAAGGGAAAAAACCACCACCCTGTCAACAGTGATTGGACTGGCTGGCATCTCACTGTTACTGAAGCAGTGGATATTACAAACCTTTTGTTTGCTGTAGGGCTTCCCCATCTCTTAAATGGTATTTGGGGTGCTATATAATCTGTTAAAATATTTACACTCTTCAGCTGTTTAGCTGAAAACCAAACAAAGGAAAACAAAATTGCCCTAACTAAAACCAGAGCCAATTTGTGAATGAAGAGGCCCAAGGAAAAGGCCTGAACTAACCTCAGAGAACTAGACACCATCTGACATGCAGAGGGGGAACACTTCAGAGAGACTCTTTGAAGAGGACTTTATTTCTAATCCTGTTCAATTTTTATAAAGTTAAGGAACAAGACCAGCCTCAGCAGCTGTAAAATCATTGCAATGGAAAACACCTGCTCAGTATTCTGGGCTCAGTTAGGCTCCTTTTGCCCAGCTCTAGCAGTCCTTTTGGGAGGTTCTCTAACAGTAAACATTCAGCTGCAAAACCAGATGAGGACAGGGACAGAAAACTCTGCTTTTAGAAGTTTTTTTTCCATGCATCCCCACTTCACTCTTTTCTTTCCTCTAGTGCTATTACATTGGGGCCACAAGTGATGCTGCCACCAAAATCATTAATGAGGTATCAAAGCCCATGAGTCACCACATCCCTGTGGAAAAGATCTGTGAGAAGCTAAAGAAGAAAGACAGTCAGATCTGTGAACTAAAATACGGTGAGTTGCCTGCACAAGAGGAAATGCCCATGATTTGCTGGGGTTGGATGACTGGGGGTGAAGCAACATCCTAAAACCACTCAGTCCTGAGTTCTGTAGCCTAGTTAGGTTGCACAACCTGGGTTGCTCTCCATGAACATCCTACAGAGTTCTGTGGAGATGCTTAGGTAAGACTTCTAACCCTTGGCTTCTGCAGGGACTCTGACCAGCCCTGGGATAACTAACTCCCAGGTGCAGCAGCACTGCTGTGCTCACATTGCTGTTTGCAATGTCATGTTTGGGATGGTGTGTGGCACAGCCCGTGCTGGCAGCAGGCAGGGGTGTCACTGTGGCAGGGCTCAGGTCCTTGGCTCGGCTCTGCAGTCTCAGCTGTTCTCCTGTTCCCGGCAGCAGGGTGATAAATGCTGCTTTCTCACCTCCTCTGATGTCTCTCAGAGCATTCTGCTCTCTATTTCTCATCACCTTCCTTGAACCCTCAAGTTTCTAGATGGCTTAGAAATGCCTCATTCTGCTTTCCGGTATAGCTGCCCTTACACCCCTTGGAGACAGCCCCTTGGATTGGGGGTCTTTATACTTTTTATTTCTCCTACTAAGATCATATTGCTTCCTAAAAAGCTTTTTGTTGCTGTCACTTCCTTATCTTTCCCCTGAAATCACTCTGCTACATTTCTTTTATCCAGTGGAAAAGAAGTGTTGCTGCTCATGTAATAAAGGGACTTTCAGGGCTATTGTGGAACTCCTGCACCGAAACTGCCACTAAGCCTTCTGTCTTCTAATAATTTTTAGCATTAAGAGCCTTATCTGCTGCTCAAACCTAACTAAGATGTTCCTTCCACCCCTGGCACCTCTCTCCCTGTTGGGTTTTGGCTTCCTCGCCCACCTGGCATGTCTGAGTGCAGCTTTGCTCTCCCCGCAGACAAACAGATCGACCTGAGCACCGTCGACCTGCGCAAGCTGCGCGTCAAGGAGCTGCGGCGGATCCTGGATGACTGGGGCGAGGTGTGCAAGGGCTGTGTCGAGAAGTACGACTTCATCCGCAGGATCCACGAACTGATGCCCAAGTACGCGCCGAGGGCGGCCGGCGCCCGGACAGACCTCTGAGGGCCGAGACCGGGGCGATGGATCCTGGGGCTCTGAGGGGCGAGACCGGGCCTGTGAGGGGACTGTGAGGGGCGACCTCGAGGCTCTGAGGGGCGATGCCGGCCCCGCGCTTTGTACGGGACTTTCATTAAAGTTCGCCGGTGTGTACCGGGCGGAGCCGTGCCGTGTGACGTGATTGCGGGACACTCCCCCTGCGCCCCCCCGCACCCGCCGGGTTTCCGACATCCCCCGTCTCCCCCCCCGCCCTCGCTCCATCCGCGGAGCGGCCCCGCGCGCGTCCCCTCAGCCCGCCGAGGGGCGGGGCTTCACCGCCCGCCCTGATTGGCCGCCCGGCCGTCGCGCGCGGGCGGCGGGAAGCGCCGTGTGACGTCACGGCCCCGTGACGCCGGCTTGCGGCGCGGCGCGCGCGGGGCGATGACGTAGGGCCCGCGCGGCGCGGCGGCCGGAGCCGCCTTCGCTCCCTTTTGTCCAAGATGGCGGCGGCCGCCGGAGGCGCCTCCTGAGCCGCGGGCCCGGCGCGATGAAGCGCGGCAGCGACCGCGACTCGAGCCCGCCGGGGGCCGCGGGCGGACGCGCGGCCGCCGCCGCCAAGCGGCCCCGCGACCGCGACCGCGAGAGCAGCAGCCGGCGCGGCCCGCATCGCAGCTCGGGCGCCTCCCGCAGCAGCCGGGACAAGTCCACGCCCGGCGGCGGCGGCGGAGGCGGCGGCGGCACCACCACCAGCAGCAGCAGCGGCGGCGGAGGCGGCTCCAGCTCCCGCAGCCACCGCGGCGATGAACGCGCCGGCGGCGGCGGCGACTCGAACCACCGCCCGGCGGGGAGCGGCTCGGCCTCGGGCGCCCGCGGCGGCAGCCAGGCCGCCCCCTCGTCCTCCTCCTCCTCCTCGTCCCGGGCGCTCGGCGTGCCCAAGGCCAAGGCGCTGCCGGGCGCCGTGGTAGCCCCGTCGCTGCTGCTGGCCGGGCCGCCGCCGGGCGCCGCGCCCTCGCTGCTGCTGGCGCCGCTCGGGGGCTCGGCCGGGCTGGCCGGGGAGCCGCCCGGCTCCTGCGAGTACAAGACGCTGCTGGTGAGCGGGCTGAGCGCGGCCCTGCCCGACCAGCTGCTGGAGGACGGGCTGTTCCGCCTCTTCCAGCGCTTCGCGGGCGGGGGCGCCGGGGACATCAGTGTCAAGCTCTCCCACACGCCCGAGCTCGGCCGCGTCGCCTACGTGAACTTCCGACACCCCGGGGACGCCCGCGACGCCCGCCGGCACGCCCGCGCCCGGCAGCTGCTCCTCTACGACCGGCCGCTCAAGGTGGAGCCCGTGTACCTGCGCGGGGGCCGGCGCAGCCGCACGCCGCCCCCCGCGCCCTCCCCGGAGCCGCTGGGGTACCTGCCGCCCCTGCACAGCGCTTACCAATACAAGCAGCGCTCGCTGTCGCCGGTCACCAGCCCCTTGCTGCGGGAGCCGCGGCCCCGCCACGCCGCCGCTGCCGCCTTCGCACTGGAAGCGGCCGCTATCGGGCTCTCCCGGGAGCGGGAGCGGGCCCTGGATTACTACGGGCTGTACGACGAGCGCGGCCGCCCGTACAGTTACCCCATCGTGGCCGAGGAAGACCTGATGCCAGAGGATGACCAGAGAGCCACCCGCAACCTCTTCATCGGCAACCTGGACCACAACGTGTCGGAGGTGGAACTGAGGCGCGCCTTCGAGAAGTACGGCATCATCGAGGAGGTGGTGATCAAGCGCCCCGCACGCGGCCAGGGCGGTGCCTACGCCTTCCTCAAGTTCCAGAACTTGGACATGGCTCACCGGGCCAAGGTGGCCATGTCGGGCCGCGTTGTGGGCAGGAACCCCATCAAAATCGGCTACGGAAAAGCCAACCCCACCACCCGGCTGTGGGTGGGGGGCCTTGGCCCCAGCACTTCCCTGGCCGCCCTGGCCAGGGAGTTCGACCGCTTTGGCAGCATCAGGACTATTGACTACGTGAAGGGCGACAGCTTCGCTTACATCCAGTACGAGAGCCTGGACGCTGCCCAGGCCGCCTGCGCGCAGATGAGGGGCTTTCCCCTGGGTGGACCAGAGAGGAGGCTCCGAGTGGATTTTGCCAAAGCAGAAGAGACGAGATACCCGCAGCAGTACCAGCCCGCGCCGCTGCCCGTGCACTACGAGCTGCTGGCTGACGGGTACAGCCGGCACCGGAGCCTGGAGCAAGACTTGAGGGTGCGGGATAGGACTCCTCCGCACCTCCTGTACTCGGACAGAGACAGGAGCTTTGTGGAGGCGGACTGGGCCAGCCCTGCCAAAAACGCCGAACGCAGGAACAACCTGGAGAGCTACAGCCGGTCCGTGCGCAGCCGGAGCGGGGAGCGCTGGGGCAGCGACGGCGACCGCAGCGTGCCCAAACCGTGGGAAGAGAGGCGGAGACGCCGGAGTCTTTCCAGTGACCGCGGGAGGACTACTCACTCGCCTTACGAGGACAGAAGCAGGACAAAGGCCAGTGGGCCAGCTCTAGACCGCAGCCCTGACAGGGCTCGCAAGGAGAATCACACTACAGAACCCGGAGCCGAGAAGGAGCAGAGCAACTCCCTCCAGAACAATCGTCACGCGGCCGAGGAGAAACCCCACCGCGAGCCGGCCGATGCTCCCCAGCCCAAAAAAAGGGACAGCGAACGCAATCATCGAACTGGTGAATCGGAATCCAAAACTCACGAGGAGCCAAAATCCGAGACCAAAAAGCTAAAGAATTTATCAGAATATGCTCAGACACTGCAACTTGCTTGGAATGGGCTTCTTGTGCTAAAAAACAGCTGCTTCCCCACCTCTATGCACATCCTGGAGGGAGACCTGGGTGTCATCAACGGACTCCTCAAAGACCATTCATCCGGCGGGAAGTTGACGCAGCTCAAAATCGCTCAGAGACTTCGGCTGGACCAGCCCAAGCTGGATGAAGTCACCCGGCGCATCAAACAAGGCAGCCCCAACGGCTACGCCGTGCTCCTGGCCACCCAGTCCGCCCCGGCAGGGGCAGGGGCCGAGGGGACCTTCCCTGTGGTAGAGCCTGGCTTGCAGCGACGGCTTCTCAGGAATCTGGTCTCCTACTTGAAACAGAAGCAGGCTGCTGGGGTTATCAGCCTGCCCGTGGGAGGGGCAAAGGGCAGGGACAGCACAGGCATGCTTTACGCGTTCCCTCCTTGCGAGTTCTCTCAGCAGTACCTCCAGTCAGCACTAAGGACATTGGGGAAGTTAGAAGAAGAACATATGGTGATAGTTATAGTCAAAGACACTGCCTAGCCCACACTGTCTTTTCAAATTCCATGTTTTCTTTGTGTGTCACACAGCCCAGTTGTTTTTAAGGCTGATCATTTTGGTTAAGGCTCAAAACACCTTGACCAAAGTGGTAAGATTTTTAGTTTCTAATTAATTTTAATACCTATAATATCTATTAAAATTTTAAATAGAGCCCATTTTATTCGTTTTTAATATGTGACACTGTCCGCTGTTGTTCTGTATTTTTATTTTTTAACTGTATGAAAAGTTGTCAGTAAAGCCTTGTTCACTGATGGATTTCTAAACTTGTGCGGTATCCGAGTTCTTGTGGCCAGGAAGGAAGGGTGAGCTCTCTGTGCTGCAGGAGCAGCCAGGCCAGGCCAGGCCCCAGCCCAGTTCCGTTCTCAGATCCCAACCTTGAGCACCTCCTTCATCTTTATGTGTCCTTCAAGGTGGGAGGGGAAGGGAGGTTCTTAGTGCTGTATCAAAGATTGAAAGGTTGGTTCTCTATTTTTTTTGTCCTGTTTGCTTTTTATTTCAAAAATTTGAGTCTGGATGCTTTGCTGTTGAGTCTCTCTTTGAGAATAGAAGCTTCCCAGGAAGCCAGCAACCAAGGAAGCAAATCCTGATCAAGAATAAAAGTTTTTCATTCGCACCAAAAAATTAGTTGATACTTGGCAAAAAGTTTCCTACTGAGGAGTGAATGCTGTATTCAAGTTGGTGAGGTTTGAGAGCACCTGGCACATGTCTCAGTCATAGAAGTTCTTGAATAAAACAAAGGTTTGACACATTACCAATTTTTATAAAAGGCAAAACAAGCAGATGGAAAAAAAAGGTGATTTAAGGGGGAACCCCCTTGGGCCCATATTAGATGTGGACAAGGTAGGGGCACAAAGGTGTTTGGTGAGCTGGAGGTGCCCATTTGCAGTCAATCATGTTGTACTACCTGGAATCCTTTATTGAAGGATAAATGGCTAATTTTTTTTCCTGAAGTTTAAATTTGTTTGCAGGCTTACAAAACCACACAGAAACATGTCTGTCTGGCTGAGAATGTGTTCTGTTACAGGTGACCTGTAACAGAGGAACCACTGGAGATCAGAATCCGAGCTCTAAAAGGGATGGATCTATCACCTTTGCTGTCTTTACGAGGTGGTTGGTTGGGAGGCCAGACCCTTTGAGTGCTCAGCAGCATAAGGATGTGGTAACGAGTTCAAGCTGGAGTTAAAATCCACACTGTTCTGTTTGGGGATATTTTTATTTTTTAAAATGATGCCTGTAGATTTTAGGAGACTTACAGAAAATTGTGTGGGATTAAAAATGCTACGTTTTAAAGTTTCTTTAGATTTGCAGGTGGTTTTTTTGTTGTTCTCTTAGTAAGCAAGTGAACAAATTTGTGGGAGATTTGTCTCGCACCAATCTCTGTGAGCCAGCAGCTCACTTGCTGAGGGTTGCCAAAAACCCTTCTAAAACTCCTCTCAGGTATGATTGGTGTCACAACCTACTAAGCAGGGAGCGTAACTCAGCCTAATGATGCTGTTATTTTTCACTTTTTAACCCTGCAGGGACATCATCAGCAGATGATGGATTATTAATATCAACAAGTGTGGGTTGGTTTGTTGGGCTGGAGGAGGGGTTGCCTTTCACCTGATGCATCTTCCGTGAAGGCACGGATCAGAGGGGAGCTGAATGCTCCACTGGGACAGCAGGGAGCTGGGAATGTGCTGTGGGAGCGAGGAGCAGCTCCAGTGCCCGAGCCGCCAGGCTGGCCCGGTTTCACACGGTTCCAGGGACACCGACACGGTTACAGGGACACCGACTCTGCCCTCCTGACCGGGTCCCCAGTGCTGCCCTAACGCAGGCGGTGCCAAATGTCAGCAATTGTAACGGTTCGGTGTTATCTGAAACCAAG